AAAAAGATATATTTATTTATAAAAATAGAAAAAGAATCAGTTCAACAAGTGTCATTCTATGTTCATGGTCTCCCTACACCGAACACTCCACGTCTCCACCAACCCCTCACCCGCATCCCCAACTCACCTCTTATCCCCAACCATCCTACATTACTTCAAACTTAAGTGGTTATCTAAATATACTATATAAATGTTCTTGAAATAATAATCTTTTGTTTACTTATTGTATATTGTTTACAAGGAAATAAATAAGGATGTGTTCGATATAAAGAAAAATATTTTTCACGTAAAATAACTTTTTCTAAAATAAGTAAAAAAAATTTTACTTGTATTTTAGTATTTGTTAAGTAAGCAAGAAAATTTTATTCCATGTGCATTTATATTTTATGTTAGGTTATTAGCATTTTAATATTAATATTTAACATATTAAATTGCTTTATTTTGGAGTTATAAGAATGAATATTGGAATGGATGACTTCTACATCATCCATTAGCATTGGTTATCCATCAATGTATTTCATTCTTAATTCCTCCATTACTCTTTGTAACATATGTAACTCCCATTGTAACTTATGTAACCTATGTAACTCCCATTGTAACCTATGTAACCTATGTAACTCCCATTGTAACCTATGAAACTCCTAAGACCATTATCTTCACTATTTACTATCTCCATTATCTTCCTATTCATTGCTAGGAAGACTTCTTGTAGTATAAATAGTGGTGGTCTTCATTTGGTTAAGACACACAACACACAAGAGAAAACAAAGAGTGAAAGAGTTAGTCTAAAAGAGAGTTCTTATTAGTTGAAGGGAGGTGTTCTTTTTTGTGGAGCTTTGGACTCAACTCTTGTCCAGAGTAATTGAGTTATACTTTGTGAAGGTTGTTGTATCCTGGAGGGGACAAGTCATAAAAGAGGACTACTGCTGGACCGGTGAAAACATTTGCTGCAGTGGCCTTGAATCTCCTTAAAGAGAGCGAGATATCCGCGTCTCAGCCTGAAGAGATTACTTTCTTCATTTTATTTTCAATTGTAATCTTGCAATTTTATTATCTTGTAAGTTTTTTCACTAACATTTTATCTAGCAAAATATTATGGAGACGAAACGGGATAAAAAGTGAAAGTTTATGGGGGCTGGGGTGGGATTATCAAGGAGTGGGGATTTGAGAAATAGATGGTGATGAGGAGACAATAAATTTGTAATTAGGGTGTATAAAATCGAATCGAAAATCGAACCAAATTGTAATCGAGTCAAATAAAAAAAAAACAAAAACGACTAGTTGTTTGGTTCGACTTGATTTGGTGTTGCAAAAAAAAAATCCAACTATATATAGGTTGGTTTGGTTTCAAGTAAAAAAATCAACCCGAGACCAAACCAATCCGACATTATATATATAATTTTAAAATTTTATTTTATACGTAAAATTTTGATATAATTTTAAAATATCTTTTATACTTTTTCATAGTTTTTATATTTTAATATATTTATTTGATGTTTGTAAGTTAGAATTCTTAATAATATAATAAAGATTATAGTCCATACATGTTGGTAATTATAACAAAGTTTAAATAAAAATTAATTTAATACTAATGCAAAAGAAAATCAATTCAACACTATGAATGACAATAATATTGAATTTTTGTTTTTTAGTTTTATATAGATTTAGACAATTAAAATACATGATTTAATTTTACTTCTTTTAATATTTAGTCATGTAATTAATACTTACTAAACTTATTTTAGCATGATTTAGTCCTTTAAATAATGATCAATTTCATTATGACTTATTAATTTGCAATATTTTTTTACGCGATTTTATTATTATTTTTTGTTGGATATTTTAGTGTCATTAATCATATCATATTTTTTGTTATTTTCTTGAGAAATAACTCGGATAGTTGCATTTTGGTAGGAGTAAAGAAATATTTGAAGTATAAGTAAATTATATGTTTGTATGAAAACTTTATCGAAAAACCCAAAAATCCAAAAAACCCCAAAAAATTCGAAGAAACCCGAAAAAATCCGAAGTTAAAAAACCCGAGTTTTATTTGTTTGATTTGATTTATAAATTTAAAAATCCAACACAAATGATTTGATTTGATATTTGAAAAACCCGAACCAACCCGATCATGTACACCCCTACTTGTAATGCCACTTATTAAGCAACTTGTTTTTCTTGGTTCCATTAGGAAAATCATTTTCTTTAAATGATGAAATTCGTTATGCTCATAAACATAAAACTTCATAAGTTGAGAAATCTATGACAATTATCTCAATTCTTATTACAATCTTAGTTCATACCAAAAAAATGATACACTATCGCAAAGTTGTTCTAAAAAGATACAACTTTATTGACTAAACTTTACTTCAATAAATAAAAGAGAGAGTAAAATTGAACATATCCTTCCAAATATTACAAACAATCTCATCACATTGTGCAGACATTTCTTAATATAAATGGTTTAAATGTTGAAAGAGTAATAATATCAACTATAAATTTGATCATTGAGAGTAATAGTTATAACCGATATAAATTATCTTAACTTTGAAGAGTAATAATATCAACTACAAATTTTATTTACGTATGAAATAAATGATTAATAGACATAAAATGACAAGATTTTTTTTCTTTTACAAAATAATATGGTCGATTTTTATATTTGAAAAGTATAAAATCGTGATATAAGATTCTCACATCAAGCTTTTTGGAGAATTTGAGATTTCATCTCACGATTTGAAATCATGAAATTATATTATATGTTCAAACGTTGATTTCTATCTCATGATTTCGAATCACGTGATGAAAAATTACGTGTCCAAACGCTCACTTAGTGTCAATGATTAGGCTATTAAAGGAATCCCAATGAAACACCATAACTTCCAAAATAACAGTACTACACTTCTGCCCTTTAAATATGCCATGCTGTGTCTCTTCCCAAAGCAAAATCCCTTTTGATTCCATTTTGAACTATTATAGCTTTAGCACTTTGAAACTTGAGCCATTACAACAATTAACAAAAATATCTTTGCATATACTTCCTATTAAGTCAATGATCAAACTTCCCCACCACCCTTCTTCCTCAATCTGTGATACAATGACCATTGATGAAACTACTTCTGATCCCATCTCAGAGTGGCTGGATAGTCCCTTATCATACTTTCCGTCGTTACTCGATGATGAGTCATATAGCATCGATGATTTACTCGATGAGTCATATAGCCTCGATGATATTTACGAGGACTCATGGTGGGCTCCTAATGAGAGCATAAACCAAGAAATACATATCAATAACAATAACGATAATAGTTTACCGTGCTTCGATACTAGCTTCCCTGTCACAACCGCGAGCACTGTCTCTCTGGAGCCGGTCATTTCAAGTCATCTTCCGCCATTGGATTCATCCAAGAAGAGGAAAGGGAATGATTCTGGTTACAATCCCAAGGCGTCCCGGAAGAATCAGAACCGTAGGATCAATGATGCAGATACAAGAAGAACAACAGGACACAAGAAAGCAACACACAAGTCTAGTACAGGAAATAATGGTAACAACAGAGAAGGAAGATGGGCAGAGCAGTTACTTAACCCTTGTGCTGCTGCAATTACAGCAGGAAATCTGAACCGTGTGCAGCACTTGTTGTACGTTCTGCGCGAGCTCTCCTCACTAAACGGAGATGCCAACCATCGGTTGGCTGCTCGTGGACTCCAGGCGCTGACGTATTATCTTTCTACTCCATGCCCAACTTCACTATCTTCTGCTTCTGCTGCTACTTTTGCTTCAACAAATCCGAAGTTCTTCAAGAACTCACTGATCAACTTCAATGAGATCAGTCCCTGGTTCCGCATACCCAATAGCATTGCAAACTCTTCTATACTCCAAATTCTAGGGAAACATGATTCATCCCGGAACCTACACATTGTTGATATTGGAGTTTCTCATGGTGTTCAATGGCCAACATTGCTCGAGGAGTTGACCCATCGAGCAGGAGGTCCACCACCATTGGTTCGTCTGACAGTTATAACACCTACAATAGAAGATGATCAACAAAGAAATAGTCCATTTGTAGTTGGTCCAGGTGGTTACAACTTTTCAGTGCAACTACTTGCCTTTGCCAAGGCGATTAACATCAATCTACAAATCAACAGACTGGAGAATTACCCACTTCAGAATCTTGATTCGCAAGTGATAAATACATCCCCAGATGAAATCTTGGTTATTTGTGCACAGTTCAGACTCCATAACTTGAAACACAACAATCCAGACGACAGGACAGAGTTGTTGAGAAGACTAAAGAGTTTGGAGCCAAAAGGACTGGTTTTGAGTGAGAACAACATGGATTGCAGCTGCAACAGTTGCGGGGACTTCACAACAAGATTCTCAAGGCGAGTGGAGTACTTGTGGAAGTTCTTGGACTCTACCAGTGTAGCATACAAAGGACGTGAGAGCGAGGGAAGGAGGATGATGGAAGGAGAAGCAGCAAAGGCTTTGACAAACATGGGAGAGATGAATGAGACAAAGGAGAAATGGTGTGAAAGAATGAGGAGTGTTGGTTTCGTATGGGAGATGTTTGGAGATGATGCTATTGATAGAGCTCGTGCATTGTTGAAGAAGTATGACAACAACTGGGAGATGAGAGTTGATGAGAAGGATGGCTGTGTTGGACTGTGGTGGAAAGGAGATCCTGTTTCATTTTGTTCATTATGGAAGATAGATCACAACACATGAGATGCACAAGGCTTTTAAGCACAAACAGAGTCAAAAGTCTACCGGTAAATCTAGAGCCTGGAAGAATCTTTCATTAGCTGTGCTTTGACACAGGTTCAGATAGTGCATTTGCAAAGGCAACAAGTCAAAAAAATTATCAAATTCCTTAAGAATTTGATTCTAGGCAAGGTGGTCATGTACCTATAAGAATATAGATGTGTAATTATTGTGTGTTTTGATGAAATAACTGAGTGCTTAGAACTCAAAGCTTTTTTAGCAAAATGACTCCCTAGCATTGTAATGAATATTGTCTTTAAGGGTACAATAATGAGTCAGCAAAAAATGTATGTACAGACACGAAAAATATGCATGTTAAATTCTAGTATCTAATCCCCTCGGAATATCAACGACCATCCTCCCATGAGACAGTCCAATGTAGTTTTCATCACATGCTTTACAAATGCACAACCACCTTCCCAGCATCAGCTACTCAAAATAACTCGTAACTATTTGCTCGTCAAGAATCATATATCCTTACAGAACTATGAATTGTCTGCCTACATAAAGGACACTTGGGTGCTAAATCACGTTCAACTGACAAGGCACAGCGCTGGCAACATACCAGGTGTCCACACGGAACAAATGCTGCGCGCTTCCTCCTCGTAAGGCATATCACACACAACTGACCATCGGGAACATCTCCAGATTCCTCATCAGCACTAACCTGCACATCATCGTCATTGCTTGCAGCATCCCTTTGTTGCTGAGCCTGCCTCTGGTGTCTCCACAGCTTCCATCGATTCCAGTTCCTAAAACATATAAATACCAATGAGAAAATGCGACCACTACAGTAAATACTTTTTCACCCTGTTTTCCTTTCAAACAAGCATATCTCCCCTTTTTTCTGTTTTTTCAGTCTTAGGTTTCCTGGGATAGTGTAGTCTAGAATATGTAAGCCAATTTCAAGGTTCCGCTCATCTGAAATATGCACCCATCATGATTCTTTCATGCTTAAAGGTAGCTAGCTGCATTATTCTTTTTGGCACGTGATGATGGTCCTACTCAAACATCAATTGCATCAGAGATAAAACTATACTTCCTTCAATTCAATAGAATACAAGTACACTAGTCTGTATCGCACAACTTCCCTAAAGTAATATGCATCAAATAATTGCATACACGAAATGACAACAACTGTAATCCAAATCAACCAACCAGCCTTCTACCCAGTAGGGTTATAAGTTCATGTCATAGTATTTATAAGTTGACTCATTTGATGCAGCCGCGAGATAAATTGCAGATGAAGTAGGGAAAGGAATCCATCAATCTGGGAGCAGATGTGGATGACTTGATTATTTAAGAGGTAACCACTCAATAGAAGGTTCCTACAACCCTAACTCATGCTCGGTAAGCAGAATCATAAAATACTATATGAAACAATTAAGGATTTTGTCCCTACCTAGACTTCACGTCAACTACAGTCTATGAGAGCGAAAAGGACAAAGAAGAAAATAGAGTGTCACAGTGAGATCTTGAAGGCATGATATCCACAAAAAAAGTTCAAGTGTTTGAGAGATGAAACTAGTTTACCTCACAACAGCATATCCAAGGACACCAACTGCAACTGAACCAAATAAAACTCCACTCCACATCAGAATTTTTGTTTTGAAGGCAAGCTCTACCAGCATTTGATCCTTGGTCATATCAGACCTACCAAAGTGAAAAATTAACACTCACAAATTTCAACAAAATAAATCAATTCGGAAATAAAAGATCACCCAAATTTTAGAACAAGAGCTGAGTGTCATGCTTTATCAATTTATTAAGAAAACTATTCTGTAAACCTTCCTTACAAGAAATAGGGTAGGTCTTCACATGATTTGATCTCCAAAATCCCATCTTTTGAGCTGCAAACACCAATAGCGGTTATATCTTTACCAAGTGGTAGAATTTTTTCTTCATCCAATACTCCAACCTTTGTCACAGAAAACAATATGTTACATGAGTTGCAGGAAGAAAGACAAACTTTAAAAGTTGTATAAGCAATCACAAATGGTCAAGAAGCCCATATCCACAACATATTTTTAAACTCACAGGATAGTGATGACCAAAGAGAGCCTGGATAAAAGTGAGAGGCGTAGCATGTAAAGGTTGCAAGTGATGATAAACTGTCACAAGAGGTAGGGAATGCGTAGAACCATCCATATTGACATTAACATATTTTGGTTGCGGCCACCTCCCAGTTTCAATAAGAACAAAGGGAACCTAAGTCGAAGATAGAGAAGCACAAAAGCTTAGAAAGCTTATATTATGAAAACAAATAAAGCTATATAACACTTATTAGCAGGCAAAAGAGCAGCAACTACAAAATTGGAGCGTATTAACTAGATTTAAAGATGACGAGTAGGAAAAACTTTTTATGCAGAGAAATTTGCATTAATAATTCTAAGATTATAACTTCTTACAAAATATTCACATAACCTAGCAGAATTTATGGCAAAAATAGAAAATTGACAAATATTAGCAATACTGACTCAATATCTCTTTTGTGCTTCACTGGTGAAATTAAAGGCACTAGCAAAATCAAGAGACTTGTGTTGTTGGAAAATTTTCACATTACCGTTCTCAAAGAGGACGATTGTTGATCCTTCCGGACTCTTGGAAATATTGAATACAGATCACCAGCCCACGAAAAGAAGCCTCTCCACTCATTATAGATACACTAGAATAAGACAGCAAATGAACATCAGTATGCTGCCAAAATTCACTAGAAAAAAAGAAATACACACAAAAACTGACAAAAAAATAGCAGCCAAACATAGGTTGCAAATTAAATTGGTTGTGGATCATATTGTTTCTGTTTAAAGTACACCGGTTCAAAGAGTTCTTTGAAAACTGAAGGATGTCCATCACCAGTAGATAATAGCTATTGATTTCTTTCTGTAACAGCTAATCTATATATTCACACGTATAAAACATCCAAAACACGTAGTTCCCCTTCGAAACTGTTAATAATTGTTGATATTTACAATGTAACAACTGCAGCTTCCGCACATCAATTCCAAACAACTTTGGATAAGCTATATGAATCCTCACAATCCATTTAGCTCTAATATAACACAATTTCATTACAAAAATAGTTTGTATTTTAAGACACACTCTCAGCCTCTGCGACCAAAGGGTCATGAGGCGAAGCGGGAATTCATCCCTAGACATCCCTCCCTGTGCACCAGCTTATTATCTCATGTCCTCTCTCTATGTCTAGGGATTCCTTCAACGCGGGCTAAGCAAAACATCGATTGTTCTTTTTTTCGATTGTGCATTAACATTTAACAAAAATGTAGGATAAATTATCACAAGTACAAGATCAAACCCTGCAGTTTAACCAAAGTTTGCAACCCACATTGTAATTCAAAACGATCACCGCATCATATCACATGCCTAAAAAAGCCCTAACACATCAATTATAGTGAATATTCACAAATTTAGATTGATCATAACTAACTCTAACAGTACCACTAATCCTAAATGTCGTTGAATACGAAATTTCCAGCTCGAATAAGGATATTAATTGCCTAATAAAGCATGATAAATTGACTAATTTAATACTGTTTGAACATAAATTAAAGTAAAACGAAAAGTGTAGAAGAATTATACTGTTTGAGTATGTTGCAATATAACGCCTTTTTCAGCAGAATTATGAGCTGAGAGAATATTAGCTCTCAAGCTTTTCCAGTTACCCTCAACCGCCGATTTCGCCTCCACAGTACCGCGAACAATCACAAGCTTACCGTCATCGGAATGATTTGAACTATCAGAGTTGTCGGAAGAAGAAAGTAATGAACGGAGATCGGAGACATTAAGCGACGGCGCATCGTTGATTTTGTGAAGGGCGGAAGAATTGGCTTTGAACTTGACAATACTCCGTACGGCAACGTAAGCTAGGGCTAAGCCAATAAGTGCGCCATCCGCCGCCGTAGCTATTTGCGATAGCACGGCAGCTGCCGCTTGATCGTATATTGACATGGCTACTTTCAAATTCTCGGTCGCCGGAAACTGAACGCTATTTCTATGGCTTGTTTATTGGCTATGAGTACCTCTTTTTTTAAGACTACTTTCGGTTTACTAAAGTGTTTATTATAAATAGATTGGATTAAAATGGATTGTATTTAAGTTTATCATAAACTTATTCGATAGGTATTGTCAAGATAACTTTTTGATAGAAATGTATTTATTTATGTTATATTAAATATGGTGATCTTTTGATTGATTTTTCTACCTATAAATAGAGATATCATTCACTATTAAAATATACACTTGAATAATATACACTTGAATAAGAAGAAATTTTTTTTCTTCTATCTATTTCTCTTGTCTTTTTTTTCTTTATGATTATATTCTTATGAGCTTGATTTTATAATACGTTATCAGCACGAGTCTCTAGCCAATTAAGATTGAGTTTTAGTTTTTCTTTAACTCATGTTTTGGTTGATCTCGTTATGAAAAATCAAGGTATTATATGCATAAAATCAGGTATGTATTTTCTAAAATATTTTTATGATTTAGAATAAAATAGTATTGAGTCACTAACAATTATCAGGAATCGAAGACATATACTACTATTGATTGAATATGACATGCTATACAAAATTTCTTAAATAGAAAAAGGTATAAATATCATGAGTTTGAATATTATTTTGATTGTTTTGAAAGACTCAGGGTGAGTTATGTTGTACTTTGGTCTATTATACCATTAGTTTAGGGTAAGACGATGGGTTCAAGTCTCATCGCACCAAAAAGGGTAAGACATCAAATTAAGTCCAGATGCACATAATGAAAAATATTGACGGATAAGACAATAGATTCAAATTCTATCGCCCCAAGAGGGTAAGACATCAATTTGAATTTTGATGCACCGTGATAATAATGTATTGGGTTCAAGTCCCATAGAATTATGACCTAATGTGCCTTTGTATGCATAAGACATTGAGTTTGAGTCTCAATGCACCATAGTGGTGATAAAATGATGATTAAGACAAAAATAATATATTTTTGATGAAAAGTCTTCGAAATTCATCATATTGAATTTGCTCCATTCCTTGAAAAGAATGTGGTAGTAACATGTGATAACTTTTGAAATCCGCATGCTGACTTGCTCTATTTAATCATATGAATGTGATAGCAGTGAATAATTAGTCTGAAAGATGACAAATAATTCATGATATGAATAAGGGCATGGAGGGATGAAATTATAATAGTCATCATTTTGGTAATGATAAAAGGAAGAACAATATGAGTTCTTCAAATAGTCCTTCAAAATGTGAAGACAATTTTTATCATCAAAATGGTATGAAAGGTCATTAGACTTGTGAAAGTTGTCAATCCAATAATTTGACAAGTTTATAAATCCTCTATTATGATATAAGAAGATAAAGTGATGGTACACTTGATCTTTCAAAGTGATGTTGAGGTGTGTCATGAAAGTATGATGAATTTTAAAACCATGACAATGTACTTATAATGCAAATTTATGAAGTATATATAAATGATCAGTCCATTACTTGAAGAGAATCTGACTTGTGATGAGTATCGTGAATGCTCGATCATTCTATAAGAGAATGGGTAAGATGTGATAAAATCATTATGGATTGAATATATGCCACAACTCACCTCTATGGGAGGTTTGAGAAAAAAATGATATATGTCAAAACTCGCCTCTACGGGAGATTTGAGAGGAAATAAATTTTATTTGATAGAAATGACTAATCGTATTGTACGTTTATACGTCACTATGGTATGTTTATTGTGAACTACCGAAAGGGAAAAAGAAAGAAATAGTTCTTGCCTATAAGGATTGTGGTTATTATTGTGTGACAATACAAATTTGTCATTGGTTGTACCTATGGTACAACAAAAGTAAAGCAAGAAAGACGTCTTCCTCGTAATGATTTTGACCATGACAATAATAATATAATTTTCTCCTTGAAGGAGATACTCACCATAGGGATGGTGTCATGCAATATGTGATAGTACACAAAACTAAATTGCAAGCTCTAATGAGTTGTGCTATTACCAGAGGAATAATATTGGGGTTGTAGTAAGTCCGAAAAGAAAGTTTTTAAGTTTCGGATGAATTGAAAATAAATATTGAGACTATAAATCACTACAACCGAAGAGGGTTATAAATATTTATGTAAAACATTATCCCACTTTTTCTCTTGTTTGTTGCAGACAAACATGAACATGCTGATGAAATCACATGCAAAAGTAAATTATACATGCACTGAAATAAATGTCAGTTGGCATGACCACTTGACTATCATGATTTTGATGTGATGCAAATATATTTGAGAATTTATGTGGCTTATACGATGAAGAAATAAAAGATTCTTCAAGAATTCTCTTGTGTTGCTTGTTTTGATTGGACCAGCTAAGGTTGGGATTGTAATCCCCTGAAGCTTTTGGAACATATAAAAAGGTGAATATGTCTCATTCACTTGCCTTGTGGATCATTTGCAAATATATGATAGATGCAACTATATGATAGATGCATCTATGTGATGATCACATATGCTTTGTTGTCAACTTACAAATTGGTGTTTGTAAGGTTGTTTGCTCGAATTGTTATTAAGAGCACAGTTTTAAATTGTGAAATTATATTGATAATGCTAGTTGATTTAGCAAAAATTATATGCCTCAAATTATAGCTAAATCATGGTTATGAGAACAAAACTCTCAAATAAAATTTGGTATGAGATAAATTTATTTAACATGTAGCAACACATGTTTGCATCAAGCCTACAGGGTTTCCCCTTTAAAATTGGTTCAGGGTCCCCTATGACAGAAAATTATATTATTTATACATGGTTAAAATAAATTTATATACATATATAGTAAATGTGAAATTCCCTTATTGAAAATTCTGGCTTCGTCTCTGTTTAAAAACAGTGATTAATATAAATATTTTAGTACCATACTCATATTAATTAATATATAGTCTTAACCAGGTCTCCATATGATCATTTGGAGAATAAATAAGTAATGTTAGGTGTAACATAAAAAAAATTATATTGTTCTGACAAGTAAAAATGAATAAAAAAAATAATATGAAGTAAATATTTTAAAAAATCACATTAAGTAATTTAAAATGGAGAAAGTAATTATACAATTAATTTTATATAGACTTAAAGTTATGTTGATTTTAGCTTAGCTAAGTTAACCTTACCTCTTGAAACAAAAATGAGCTACTTATGTACATGTCTCATGTCTTACAAACGTAAACATGACATTTACCTAATTTTATATATGATAGTGTGATTAACAGTGTTTAATATTTTAATTAGTTGTGGATGTACTATCGAAACCATATAGTTAATTACTGCATATACATATTAAAAACTTTTTTATTTTAAAAAATATATAAAATAATCTGTAATCGCTATAATTTTGTCACGATCCAAAATGTTGTGAATGTCATCCGTACTTACCTCCTTAGGTGGGCGAACCAACACATCTAAACCCCAACATATACCAATAGTTCAACTACAATAATGCGAAAGCTCCAAAACTTATTAAGCAACTAATTTAAATAAGTTTCTAAAATTTAATACTTATCATCCCAAAATCTGATAGTCATTACGTCAAGAACATCTATTTTCAAATTACCAAGTCCAAGAGTGTTTAAGAAAACCAAAATAAGCAAAAAGATGGTCCATGTCCGAAATTTAAAGACATCAAGACGTGAATGAGAGAATCCAGCACGAATTAGAATTAATAGCTCACCCTGAACTCTGATGTGCTGGAGACTAGCTAGAGCTGAGGGAGAGTCGAAGTCGATGGTACACTTGCTGCCCTCCACAAAAGAACAGGAGAAGAAAATACAAGTAGGGGTCAGTACAAGGAACACGTACTAAGTAGGATCATCGGTCAACTCAAAATAGAAATCAATATATATTGAGCAATAATATAAAATCAACTACAATACTTAACCGGTAGCAAGCAACAAACACATGAACCATTGACAACAACACCATAATAGGTACACCATCAATCACAACATCAAGCACACCTATGAGGACTCATTCCTCCACACCATACTCATTTGGAAATAAGTTCTTTGAGATTAAGTATATTAAGTTACTTCAGGATTCCTTTCCTTTAATGTTATTGTGTCGGAACGTGCACTCCGATCTCATATATCGTGTCGGAACGTGACACTCCGATATCATATATCGTGTCAGAACGTGACACTCAGATCCTGTAATACCGTGGCGGAACGTGACACTCCGATCCAATAATATCGTGTCGGAACGTGACACTCCAATCCAATTATCTCATTATTTTATTTCATCAAACCTTCTTTATTCAAGGCGTCATTTTAATCAGAAGGGTTCAAGATTAGAAATTCAACAGTCTCATAATTTAGGCCAACCACAAATCACACAATCAAAACATTAACCACACAATCAAGTACATAGGAGACTTTATAATATCACTCAATACATATCAATCGCTATTTATATTTTATCTATCAAATAAAAATAAATCATAACCTACCTTCATCGAAGAACCGAAATCAAGCAAGCTACCTCTCCAATGCCTTTGCTTTCCTCAATGCCCATGAACCTTTTCAATCAAATATATATATATATAAAATTTGTAAGTTAATGAGTCTATAAACACCCATGTTACTATATCTAGTCTAGACCCAAAAATCATCAAACACATATCTATACTCAAATTCTTAGTCTTGAGGTTTATTAATATATCAAGTATCTTATTTCTTATATTCAAGCCTAAAGTTAAATCTTTATTTCTCTGAATAACATAATCTTAATATCATTCAAATAATATGTTACACTTAATATTTAATTAAGAAAAAAATCTCAATATACCAAAACTTATTGAATAACATGTTAACGAAACTATAAAACTGGAAGCCACTAATTGCAAAACCAGTGATAGCGAAAAGTCCACCCATATATGCCTACACTTGAATATTTCAATTCTTACTGTCATTGATCAAATGAATGCCTCAATCATTTGGTAATCATTACCAATGATTGCAACACAGAATGTTGCGGCAACAAAAAAAAAAATGGCCACAACATAGAAAATTT